TAAATTGCTTCTCAGGCTTAAGGATGAGGTGAGAAGGGGTGAGCTACATTGTTAAACAGTAGTTATAAAAGGCAAACATTCACAACTCAGTGAAGATAACATTTATTCATTGATGTTTATCAATAATGAGATTTTCCTTCCACAAAAATTATTGGGTGGTAGTTTTCTCACCCCATGCTGTGAGTTCACATATTGCCCATTTTAACAACTCTATCTTTTCAAAATCAATTTAAATGCTACTCTCAATCCATCTAAATTTCATACTTTTAGAAATTGACAGAACAATCACACAAGGTCAAAGTCTAAATCAGAATAATCAATACAGACTAACACATATACAATCCTCCCAATGTCATTTTCAGACAAGAAAGCTGAGTTACTGAGAGCAGTTCACAGTTTTTACTTTACGTCAATTTATAACAACCTTTATAGCTGTGTCCATCTTATCCACAATTGTGGCCATTTTTCTGTTGCTATTCATCATTAATCTAGTTAGCTAGCCATGCCAAAAAAAATTGTTCCCTAACCATGTGAAATAACCACCAGTAGGCACAATAGTAGGCAAAATATAAACTATAGTCCACATATATCCTTCCTTACATACAATCCTAAAATCCACACCAAATGATCAAGAACATTTAGATTTGTTCTTCAGATTTAACATTCATGTGACATTATTGTTACTTATTCCCTTTTTAGTAACAATTCCAGTAAAAAAATTCCACTCAGACACCCCTCTGCTTACTCAATATGCTCAGTTTTCATACAAATATTTAAACAGTGTTTCTATGTGTCCCAACATAGTTAATTATGTAATCATGCCGGTTGAACTGGGGTGAATACCTGCATAGAAACTTCACTTGAATATTTGAGGAAACTAGGCTGGGTTATTTAGTTTTGGCAGACAGTTGAAACCTCCCAGCACAGATGTTTGGTTGAATTAGGCCCATGAAACCTACAGAGGACTCAACTTCAACTTCTGCCTCAGCCAACCTCTGTAAACCCATTCACAGCACTGATCAGACCTGCACTTACCTACACTGTAATTACACCTCTACACACTGCACCTACACTTTTGACGTAACCTATCTGACTCCTGTAGCAGTGCTACAGGCTCTAATTGGATCATAGGCACACATCTTCAGCACAAATTACAAACGAGTTCCATCTCCTCAAATCACACATGCCATATACCAAAAAAAGGTGTGTGAGATGAGGTGTGAACTTGACAACTTGAACTTCTCAATAGCATCAGAAGATATTTCTATATACTGTATTGATCCAGTACAAAAGACCTTCCTGACCATGACATCCTTAGCCTCTCTCTTATTTTCTGCGTCAATTTCCACATAGATTCTAAAAGTTAAAAGAAATATGAATGTGTACATGTGTAAATACAAAGAGAGTAAGTATTAATTGGTGGATTAGTGTAGTAAACCACCTCTTGGAAACAGCTAGTGGAGTAACATCCAAAACATTTTATTTTTATTCACACTATACACCTCTACAGAGAAAACTTGCATAAATACATATGTCCATGAAGATGACCCTTACTTTTTCAACTATAGCTTGTGTAAATTAACTAAAAATCATGTTAGATTCAGATCAATGGCATGTACCAAGCACAGAATAAAGACTGATTTATTCTACTTTTATATTATACTGTACTGTATGTGAGTGCTGAACCTTTTACTCAAATAAAGTCAAAACTAACTTGAATTTCACTGACCACTGTGGCAGTATTACAGTTTTTTCTTGAATAAAAAAGCTTATGGACCTATTTTGACTTAATTCCAACACACTAATTAACGCAGCTTTGTGAGAGGATTTATTAATGACGCACTCAAGGGAACCTGGTCGATCCATGCTTGCACTATACGGCTGTTGATTAATAAGTTGTTGTGTTTTTGGGCGAGCAACAACAGTGTGTGACATGTGTGCCATGACCCCAAACTGCTGCGACACACACACACACA